GGAGGCTGGAGACCCTGGAACTGGAGGTGCCGGTTCTGGGGGTGCTGCTGAGGGTACTGGAGCTGCTGGAGGTGCTGGGGCTGTTGAGGGTGCTGGAGCTGCTGGAGGTGCTGGAGCTGCTGAGGGTACTGGAGCTGCTGAGGGTGCTGCAGCTGCTGGAGGTACTGGAGCTGCTGAGGGTACTGGAGCTGCTGAGGGTGCTGCAGCTGCTGGAGGTACTGGAGCTGCTGAGGGTACTGGAGCTGCTGGAGGTGCTGGAGCTGCTGAGGGTGCTGGTGCTGCTGGTACTGGTGGCACTGCACAGCCGCGCCTGTTCTTTGCTCCACCGACTCCGTCGTCTCTGTAACCGCCTGACTCCGTACTTCGCCAGGTTCTTAGCCTCCCGTCGTCTACTGGTCTTCCGTTACAGCCTGGCTCACCTCTGCCTGCTCCTTCTCCTTACACTGAGCAGCCAGGAGGTCTTACTGTGCGTTGTGAGCCTGCGTCGCGTCCTGTCTCGCCTGTCTGTTCTGGTCGTTCCGGTTGTCGTGTTCCTCGTCTGCGTCAGCCGGCTGTCCCCGACACCCACCTCGTAGTCCGTCGTCCTTCCTCTCCTCCGCAGCGTGTTCCTCTGCCGTCTCCTCCTGCGTCTTCTCTGCCTGTCGTTGCGGACCCTGAGTCTGACCGGTTTTGTGCTGAGCACCCTACTGTCACGCGTCTGCTAGCCACTGTTGTCACTGAACCGTCGTTTGAGTCTACTGCTGCGTCTGCCTTTGTCGCTGAGCTGGTTGACTTTGCTGCTGCCTGTCGTCTAAACTACGCTGCTAGTCTTGTTGCTGAGTCTGAGTCTGTCTGTCCTCCGTCCGTCGGGGGTGAGTGTGCTCTTGGCACGGACGTCCTTGAGGACAGGCAGGAGGACCTTGAGTGTCTTGCCGCCACTGCGCCTCATCTCGTGGCCATGCTGCTTGCCCCTGAGGGAGACCCGGATGCACCAGACATCCCGACCCCGCGCTCTTACGCTGAGGCGATCGCGGGTGAGTACTCCTCTCAGTGGCAGACAGCCATGGACGCAGAGATGGCATCCTGGAAGTCCACAGGCACCTACGTCGACGAGGTTCCCCCTCCTGGGGCGAACATCGTCAGTGGCATGTGGATTTTCAGGGTGAAGCGGCCGCCGGGTTCTCCGCCTGTCTTCAAGGCTCGTTACGTTGCTGGAGGCTTCAGTCAGCGAGAGGGAGTTGACTTCTTCCAGACTTTCTCCCCCACCCCGAAGATGACCACTCTTCGGGTTCTGCTGCACGTCGCCGCTCAGCGTGACTACGAGCTCCACTGTCTTGACTTCAGCACTGCTTTCCTACAGGGCAGCCTGCACGAGGAGATCTGGCTGCGCCGCCCACCTGGCTTCACTGGGTCGTTCCCTCCTGGTACCCAGTGGAGCCTCCGGCGGCCGGTCTACGGTCTCCGCCAGGCGCCACGTGAGTGGCACGACACACTGAGGACGACACTTGCGGCTCTTGGGTTTGCTCCTTCGACTGCTGACCCGTCGCTGTTTCTGCGCACCGACACTTCGCTGCCGCCGTTCTACATCCTCGTGTACGTCGACGACTTGGTCTTTGCCACTGCTGACACTGAGGCTCTCGCCCTGGTGAAGTCGGAGCTGCAGAAGAGACACACGTGCACAGACCTGGGTGAGCTGACAAGCTATCTTGGCTTGCGGATCACCCGGGACAGAGCACGCCGCACCATCACACTGACTCAGTCACACATGGTGCAGCAGGTCCTTCAGCGCTTCGGCTTCACCTGGTCCTCGGCACAGGCCACTCCTCTGGCTACAGGTCACTCGCTCTCATCTCCACCTTCGGACGAGTCCGTAGAGCCGAGTGGTCCTTACCCAGAGCTAGTGGGCTGCCTCATGTACCTGATGACCTGCACTCGTCCTGAACTTGCGTACCCTCTTGGCCTTCTGGCTCGCTACGTGGCTCCTGGTCGGCACCGAAAGGTGCACATGGATGCTGCTAAGAGGGTACTACGCTACTTGTGCAGTACATCGGGCATGGGGCTCGTGCTTGGAGGACGGAGCGACGTAGTCCTTACTGGCCACTCAGACGCTTCTTGGGTTGACGACCAGGCTACGCAGCGGTCGTCACAGGGTTACACCTTCAGCATTGGCTCTGGCTCTGTTTCTTGGCGGTCTACACGCTCGTCTTCTGTTCTCAGCTCCAGTTGTGAGGCTGAGATCTACGCCACAGCCATGGCTGCACAGGAGTTACGCTGGCTCACCTACCTGCTGACCGACCTGGGAGAGCGGCCTCGTTCTCCTCCAGTTCTGTACGTAGACAACAAGGCCGCCATTGCCTTGTGTCAGGAGCACAGACTGGAGCACAAAACGAAGCACATCGCTCTGCGTTACTTCCTGGCTCAAGAGTTGCAGCAGCGGGGTCAGCTTCGCCTTGCTCACGTGGCCACTCGGGCCAACACTGCTGATATATTCGCCAAGGCACTTCCGTCTGGTGACCATCAGCGCTTTTGTACTTTGTTGGGCCTTGTGCCTACGTTTCCACACTTGCTGTAGTCTCTGCTTGTACTGTGATCTATATATATATACCTGCATGCTTGCTCTTGCTAGCTAGAGATCACTGTGCTGTTCTTGTTACATATATATCTCTGCATGTGAACTGGCCTTGTGGCCTTTTGCTTGTGCTCAGACTGCGTGGTGACGTTGTGATCCACCCTGAGCTTGCTTTGCACTTCCTGCCTGGCCTTGTGACCCTCTGTTCTCCCCCACTTTGCCTATGGGGGTGTGTCAAACATATGTTTATATGTTATAGTTTAGGTAGGCTTTAGTGGGGTACTCACTGTGGGGTACAACCCCTTAGGTTTTACTTTTGTACCAAACTCCTCGATAGTTCAAACCACCTTGCCTAAGATTCTAACACCTCCTCCTCCTCCTCCTCCTCCTCCTCCTCCTCCTCCTCCTCCTCCTCCTCCCTCCTCGTTACCTACACCTCCTACTCTCTCCACTGCTTCCCCTGCCCCCACAGCCCCCCCTGCTCCTTTTACTCCCTTCTCCCTGTTCACCACACCACTGGCAGCTTTTCCCACCTGGCACTTGGGAGCAGGACCCCGACCGGTCTAGGCGAGCACGCATGCAGCTGCATCTCCCTGTGCGACTCGGAGGGTTCGGGATCCGGGCGGCGGCCTCTTTGAGCCCACTGTCCTACGTTTGTGGGTGGGCGCAGGCCGCGCGTGACATTGCACAGTTAGGGGTGGCGGACGAGGAGGCGATGTTTGCAGAGTACCTCACCACTTCGACAGGGGCAGAGTTTCTTGACCCGTGGTTTGTCAAGGCTCTTGAGCAGCTGCCAACGACTATCCGCCAGGAGATGCCGAGCTTTCCTCTGTGTGTAGCGGCCCCTCCTCTTCGGCTCTTCCAGGCGCGGCACCGGCAGTTAGCTGTAGAGGAGCTCCAAGCACTGCGCAGCTCGGCTCGTGACGATGCTACCCTGGCCCGTTTCACATCCCTTCAGGGCCCGGGGGCGGGTGCATGGGTTTCGGCGTTTCCAGCTCACTCAGATCTCACATTCACTGCGGCTGAGTGGGGCATTGCTGCTGCTATACGGCTCGGGCTCCCAATTCAGCAGCTGCAGGTGGTGGGGAGGTGTGTTTGTGGCACAGCGTATGTTGACCCGGCAGACCCGCGGCAAGAGAGTGGGAGCGTCGCAAAACGAGTGATTACGTGCCTCTGCTCGCACGCAACCGGGTCGTGCAGTTCACCCCTCTGATAGTAGAGACGTGGGGGTGTCTCGGCGGTCGTTTTCGGCGGTGGCTTCGTCAGCAGGGGGATGCGCACGTGGGGTTAGCTGTGTCGCGGGGGGCTTGTCGGGAAGACGACACTGTGTTTTCGGCTTATCTTTTAGGGTCCCTGAAGGCGCTCATCGGGGTGGCGTTACAACGGGCGCAAGCCCGTGTCATCCTGCTTCGAGCGGCGTCTTCCATGGGGGGGATCAACGTAGATTTGGTGGACCGGGATAGGGACGATGTCGATGTGGAAGGCGGGGCTCTCTGGGTGGAGGCCCCGTACATGGTGGATGTACAGTTGTGATTGGGGGGGGGCGAAATGGGGTGCGGGATGGGGTGTCTTGACTGGGCGTTTCGATTGGGTATCTTGAGGGGGGTTGTTATGTGTGTTGCATTTGGGTCTTTTTGGCAGTTTTACATTTCTTCCTCTGTCTGCTGGGAGAAAACAATATCGAAGTGTAGGAGTTCAAAAAAAAAAAAAAAAAAAAAAAAAAAAAAAACCCGATGAGCCGTTTCTGATGGGACGTTTTCAGCTTGTCACCAAATACCACGCTACAGATTAAAATGATTGAATTTTAACAATACTTATACCAACTACTTCGAAACACCTATGCATTACAAGTTTCTAATCCAGAGCTAATCGTGGCAACAAAAGGAAATTCTATCCTGGGACTGCTTCTGCACATCAATATTGTACGCGCATCTAAGCGATTTTGCTATACAAAGAGCTCCTCCTGACTCGAGTCCCTGCAAACACCTGTAGCAAGCAAACCAGAACCTTCCCTTGAGAACCACCCAAGTGCCATGGCAGATGACCCTCATTGATTCTCTTCAACTTTGCTTGGCGTGCATTCTACATTGCAACTGATATGCCACCCCTTGCAGCAGCTGCTGCTGCTGCTGCTATCAGTGGTGACAGCCGCAATCGGAGTGGCGGCAGCAACAGCAGATGGTATGGCCGAGAGGAGTTAGTGATGCGATGAGCTCGAGGACTGCAGGATGGGCAAGTCACAACATAGAGGCAGGACGACGCAAGATTGGCTGTACATCCAAGTATAGGCATGGGCAAATTGAGGATGCAAACGAGGAACACACAGGAGCCTTGTTTGGAGGGAAGAGAATCAGTAAGAACACAAACATTAGGAGGCGCGCGCACACCAGGGATTCAAATCAAAGAAAAACAAACTGGGGATTGCAAGGAGGGTCAAAACTCCCTCGCATGCTCACCTTAGACCTTCCCCAGTTGCGAACCCCTTCCATGAGGGATCCTGAACGCGAGTGCGACTGCTTATGGCCTCCTCCCTTTCCTCCTCCCCCTCCTCCCCCTCCTCCCCTCCCTCCTCCTCCCCCTCCTCCTCCTCCTCCTCCTCCTCCTCCTCCTCCTCCTCCTCCTCCTCCTCCTCCTCCTCCTCCTCCTCCTCCTCCTCCTCCTCCTCCTCCTTCTCCTCCTCCTCCTCCCTCCTCGTTACCTACACCTCCTACTCTCTCCACTGCTTCCCCTGCCCCCACAGCCCCCCCTGCTCCTTTTACTCCCTTCTCCCTGTTCACCACACCACTGGCAGCTGCCGAAGCTCCGCCATCACATTCCCCTCGACCTGTCCCCTCCCCATCCTCTCTCACTCCACTCGTGTCCCCCATGCCTGCGGCCCCCAAACCGCTGCTGCTGCCACTCACAACCTTCTCACTCTCCCCCTCAACCCCCCCTTCCTGCTGCTGCTGCTGCTGCTGCTGCTGGGGGAACTGGTCCAGCCCCCCTCTGCTTTTGCTTGCATGGCGTAGCACAGCAGAGACAGAGGAAGTGACGGCGGGCGATCGGAACACCCCCAAGGGAGGCCCACACCCCATCATGTTCATCTTGCCCTGGACCAAAGGCGAGGAGGGGGGGTCTGCCTGTGCGCCCTTCACACTGATGCTGCTGCTTGCACCACCACCAGTACCACCATCCCCTGCAGCAGCAGCACCACCACCGCTAACACCACCATTGTTGCTTCCAACCCCACCACCAGCACCAGCGCCACCACTGTTGCTGCTGCTGCTGCTGCTGCTGACAGTGGGTTCAGCCTGTCCCATGGAAAAGGCTGCTGTGTCTGGCGGGGTGGATGGGGTGCTGGGGGTGCCTGGAGGGTGGGAGGGCATGGAGAGCGAGCGAATGCTGGAGCCCAGGGGAATGGCGTGTTGAGCAGCAGAGGAGGCGGACGCGGAGAGTGGGAAGAGACGCCTGCTGCTGCTGGCAGCGGGTGTTGACGCTGATGATGACAGGGGGGATGCTGATGCGGTGGAGTGTGCATCAGGCGATGCTGATGCTGATGATGACAGGGGTAATGACGCTGTTCCCTGCTGCTCCTGCTGCTCCCGCTGCTGCTGCTGCTGCTGTTGCTTCTTGAGCTGCTGCTGTTTCTTGCTGAAGACCATACGAGAGGGAGAGATGCTGGCACCTGAGTGATCACCGGATACCCGCCAAAACCCTCGACCACGAGTCTTTTTCCCTCTAGCAGCACTCGCACCACCACCACCAGCACTACTCCCAGTAGCAGCGCTACCATCAGCAGCGGCAGCAGCAGCAGCACCAGCAGCAGCAGCATCAGCACTGGCAACAGACACAGCAGGAGGCGGGAGGTTGATGGGATTTGGGCTGTGGTGAGGGCTGGTAGGGCGGAGAGGGCTGTAGGGGTTGGTTGAGGAACTGAAAGGGCTCAAGGGACTCAGAGGCAGGGTAGGACTGTGCACCCTGCCATTCATTCCCATACCCATGCCCATGCCCATGCCATGCCTAGCGCTGCCAGCACTGCCACCACTCCCTCCACCCCATGTGCTCGAATTGACTGACGCTGGACTGTCTGTGCTGCCATTGACGCTGAACCCATTGCCATGGCCGCCAAAAGCGTTTCTGATTGCGGCAGCAGCAGCAGCAGTCGCAGCAGCAGCAGCCCCAGAAGCTGCTCCAGAAGCAGTGGAAGCGCGGCTGCTGGCGATAGAGGGGGAGTTGGCTACCGAGGTATCTGATTCGCTGTCGAAATAGTCCACTACGAGAATCTCTGATCGCACCACCTCCCTCTCCCCCACTATCCCTGCTGCTGTCCGCACCTCACCCGCTCCCACACCATCCTCACTCAACCCTCCCATCTCTCCCCCTCCCGCTCCCCCTCCGCCTCCCCCTGTGCCGTCCCCTGTAGTCGATCCCGACTCAGAATACAGATCCTCTGCACCCCCACCAGTAGACACCCGCTCACCCCCATCCCCATCCCCAACGCTCCCCCCAAACGCGCCCGTAAAACCCGCAAACCCCCCCGTCGTCTCTTCCCCACCCCCACCCCCACCCCCCCCACCAGGGACTGCAGAGAGGGAAGCAGAACCAGGCATGCCCCATAAGAGCGATCCATGCTGCGTAAGGCGGGACTTGGCAGGGAGGCTGTGAGCGGGGACCAGTCCTGCTGCTCCACGGGGGCTCAGCAGGCCGCTGAGAGCGCCCAGCGCTGCCACTGCTGACTGCCCGCCCTCAGAAGGGAACCGAGGGTACTTCCCTGCGGCTGCCCCTGCCGCTGCCCCTGCCCCTGCCCCTGCCCCTGCCCCTGCCCCTCCTCCTCCTGCTGTTGCTACTGCTCCCCCTGCTGCTCCTCCTCCCCCTGTTGCTGCTGCTGTTCCTGCAGTCCCCAGCGGTACTCCCCCTCGGCCTCTGCCGGTCCCATGCGGTCCCGCAAGCACTGGGCTGAAGAGACGCCCGCCACCCCTGCCACCCACAGGGCTCATGAGACCCAGGGGCGCAGTGCCAGATGATGCACCCACAGACGCATGCCGCATGAGGTGGCTCACACCCACGCCTGCCGCTGCTGCTGCTGCTCCTGCTCCGCCTCCTCTGGGACTGATCAGGCCTAGACTCCCCATGGAGCGGAGGGGACTGAGAGGCCCGTTGGTTGACCCCATTGACCCGAGCGGGCTGAGAGGCCCGCTTGAGAACCCATTTGAGAACCCGTTTGACCCTATGGACCCCATTGACCCCATGGGACTGGGAGGGCCGTTTGATCTATGCCGTGCGTTGACTGCTGCTGCTCCTGCTCCTGCACTCCCGAGCACAGGGCTGCTGACACGCCCTGTAGAGGAGGAGGAAGGGGACTGGGAGATGGAGTGGGCAACAAACCCGCTGCCCCGGCCTGCACCCATGCCCCTTCCCCTCCCGCCAGACATCGGACTCAGCATACCCATGGCAAAGGCACTAGTAGAAGCTGTTGATTCCCCCCAGCTCCCCGCTCCCCGGGTGTTGCTGCTGCCGCCACCGCCACCACCGCTGTTGCTGTTGCTCGCGGTTTGGCTTCCGAAGGTGGGGGTGGTGGCCGTAGGAAGAGTGGGAGTGGTGGCGGCAGGGGTGCGAGGGGCGAGTGCCTTGGATGGCATGGGACGGGGAGAGGCCACTGGGAGCCATGGGGGAGGCACTACTCCTGCTGCACTGCTGCCTGCAGCTGCTGGGAACGCTTCCAATGGAACAGCAGTTACAGGTACACCAGAAGTACCATTAGCAGCACCACCACCACCAGCAGTAGCCGCAGCAGTGGACGCTTGAGTTGCTGGAACAGCGATAGGGACAGGAGCGCCTCCCTCGTCACTATCCACAGAGTCGGTATGTGGGATGAGGAGAGGCGAGAGCGAGAGCGACAGCTTGCGAATCAGACTGCCTGGTGGTGGCCCTGCAAGGGCCCCTCCTCCTCCTCCTCCCGCTCCCCTGGCCAAAAACGCGGGAGGCGCAGCTGCTGCAGCTGATGGTGATGTTGCGGTTTCGGCGGGTGCGTTGATTGACTCAGTGTTCTTCCCATCAGGCAGGAACGCAAACCCTGTTAGCATACCCGCGGCTTCTGCTGCTCCTGGCTCGTCTGCTGTGCCCGCTGCACCGCCTCCTCCTCTCCCTCCCACCTGTGTTCCTGAGCTTGCTGAAGAAACAGCAGGAGCGAGAATCGGAGGAGTGACGGGTGGAGAGGGCGATGAGAGCACTGTCTGAGTGGAAGGCGAGGAGGAGTGCTGACGAAAGGAAGCAGAGGTAGAAGCAGCAGCAGCAGCACCACCACCACCACCGCCACCGCCACCGCCAGCAGCAACAGCATGAGCAGAGGAAGGCGGGGTCCAAGGGGAAGCAATGGGGGCAGAGTTGCCAGCATTGGGCGAGGCAGGGGTGACAGTGATAGCGTCGTTATGGTCTGAAACCGCTCCCAGTACAGCCCCCACTGACAGCGGGAAGTTATGCGTGCGAAACACTCGGTGCGCATACCCCCGCCTGTTCAGATGCACTGTGCTCGCCCCACCCACCCCCTCCGCTACCCCTGCCACAGCCGTCGTCGCCACTGCTGCCACTCCGCCTCCTCGACCTCCACCTCCCCCGTTCCTCCCCCCAGCGCCTCCCTTCCCTGCTCCTGGTCTGCCATTCTGAAAGAAAATGGGCAGCTCAAGCTCCTGAAGGATTGACAGATCAGCATGCACATCCAATGGGCCTCTTCGTCCCGGTCTTCCCTTCCCACCTCCCCCACCACCACCACCGCCTCCTCCCGCTGCCCCTGCCCCTCCCCCTGCGCCTCCCCCCACCATGCGACTGGCCCTCGTCCCATCCGCGCTAATTCCGACCCTGGGGGGACGGAGGGCAAGGGGGGAAGCGGAGAGCGGTCCCCCAGGGGAGCCTGCGGGGGACCCGAAGCCACTGACTTCGCTGAGCAGGCGCTTGGGCACACTGCGCGCCTTGCGGAAGGCAGCCCGCCTTGCGTTTGTTGGACTGAACGTACCCGCTGCCGCTGCTGCAGTTGCTGCTACTGCTCCTGCAAATGGCGGTACTGACGGGGATGGAAGGAGTTGTGGGGATTGGTGCAGTGGGTGGGGCTGTTGCTGGAAGGCAGATGGCGATGGCTGTGGTGAGTGTGGTGACGCGAGAGAAGCACCTGCTCGAGGTGACGCCTGGTGGGTGCGAGAGGGCAAAGAGGTTGCGGCTGCTGCCACCCCAGGAAGATGCTGTGCTGATGGTGATACCACCTGTGCTGCTGCTGCTGCTCCTCCTCCTCCTCCCCCTCCTCTAACATCACCGTTGGCAGCAGAATACGAGGCAAAACCAGAAAACGTACCAGCCGTACCAGTACCAGAAGTAGCACCAGCACCAGCAGCAGCAGCAGCAGCAGCAGCAGCAGCAGCAGCAGCAGCAGCAGCAGCAGCAGCAGAAGCTACGGAAACAGCCCTTCTAGCAGCAAGCACCTTATCTGTTCGTTCAGCAGGGTCGGTCCAGGTGCGGTGAAACATAGGACCTTTGCCTGCAGGGGACACCAGACCCAGCGCCATGGGGTCATACCCCCCTGGATTCCCCGCCCTCCCTGCTCCCGCCCCTGCGCCCGCCCCTGCTCCCCCTGCTGCCCCACCTCCGGCATGGGCAGGCACAGCAGCAGAGAGGCTTGAGAAAGACATGGAGTGGGCACGCCTCGCCCTGCCTCCACCGCTACTGCATGCTGCCCCATCCGCACCAGCTGCAGCAGCAGCAGCAGATGGTGACGGAGGCCACATGGGCTTCGAAACCGCAGCGGCAGAAGCAGCGGCAGTAGCGGCAGTGGCAGCCGCAGCGGCAACAGCAGCCTCTGCAGCTGCTCGCTGGCCAGGGCTGAGGTGGATAGAGTTGGAGTGCATGAGACAGGGAACAGAATCATCTGGCTCAGCTGCCGTTCCACCCACTCCACCTGTACCACCCGCACCGGCAGCACCACCCCCACCACCCGCACCGGCAGCACCAGCAGCAGGAGCAGCAGCGGTGGCATGCACGGAAAACGCGACAGGGCTGTGGTTCCAGGGCAGGTTGCCGCTCTTGAGCAGCGCCACTGCCTCCTCCTCCTCCTCCTGCTTCTTGTGCTCCTCTGCCAGGTCCTGTGCGGGTGCTGTGAGCGCCTTGCGCAGCCTCCGCAGCCCCGCTACTCCCCCCTGCAGCCGCGCTGCCATCGCACTGCTGTGCCCGCTCGCTGCTGCTCCACTGGGGCTGGGTGCAGCAGCAGCCGCAGCAGCAGTGGGAGAAGGAGCAGGAGCGTGAGCAAGGGGACGAGGTGAGGTGAGAGCAGCGGCAGAGAAAGCAGAGGCATCAGCAGTGGTGGTGGCGGCAGAAGCAGAAAAGGATGGTGAGTTGAGGGCTGGGAATCGCGGGCTTCGAAGGCTGGACGAGGTGGGGGAGTGGGGGATGTGAGAGGGAGACGGCAGGGAGGAGCGGCCTTGTTGGCGCGGGTTCACCCCGGGAGAGAACCACCCAGGCGACTGCTGTGCCTGTAGCACCTCGTGTAGCTGCATAAACGGCTGCTGCTGCTGCTGCTGCTGCTGCTGCTGCTGCTGCTGCTGCAGGTTATGCTGGAACGGGTGAGATTGCCTAGGAGACGACGCAACGCCATGGGGATACGGTGGGGGGAGCATTCGGGGGGAGACAGGCGAGCGCATAGACACGTCCTCCAGGCGCCACCCAGGCTCGCTGGTTGACTTGCTCAGTGCCCGCCCCTGTGCCACTGTGGGGTTGTGGATGGTCACTGGGGGAGGCCTGCCACTGCTGTACTTGCCGTGGTGCTGCTTCGGATGCTTCTGCCCCACTCCTCCTGCTCCTCCTGCTCCTCCTGCTCCTCCTGCTCCTCCTGCCCCTCCTGCCCCTCCTCCCTGCGCTGCTTGTTGCCGCTGCTGCCCCTGCTGCTGCTGTCGTTGCTCCATGGCGGGGCGAGTGGGGCCTAACGGACGCGGGCTCACCGGGGGTTGAGAGGCAGCAAGAGAAGCAGAGGAGAGCAACGACACCCCTGTTGTGCTCTCCCCCAGTGCAACATCACCGCCTCCAGCTCTTCCTGCTCCGCCTGCACCGGCTGCCCCGGCTGCTCTGCCTGCCCCTGCTGCTCGATCATCGCCATCAGCAACAGCCTCTGCTGCTACAGCCCCATCAACTTCGTCAACTGTAGCCAAGCTCGCAAACTCCCCCACTTCAAACCCCACTCCACCCACTCCACCCACTCCACCCACCCCACCCACCCCACCCACCCCACCCAACCCACCCACCCCACCCACCACACCCACACCACCCGCACCACCCGCACCAACTGGTCTCCTCACAGCACCACTCTCAGACATGGACCGACCAAACCCCAGTCCCCACCCTGTCCTCGACCCCTGCCCTGACCCTAACTCCGCTCCCAGTCCTGTTCCTAACCCTGAACCTGACCCTGAATTTGAACCTGAAGGTGATGCTGGCACAGGGCCGTTGCTGCTTCTTGCCCCAGTTGCTGCTCCTGTTGCTCCTGGTGTTCTGGGTGAGCTCGCCCCCACGGCCATTGCCCCTCCAGCCGCTCCTCCTCTTCCTGGCCTGGGGAATGCACCTTCACCTAAAGAGTTACCTGTTATGGCCCCTCCTGCTACAGCCCCTCCTCCTGCAGCAACCCTACTCGCAGCTCCCCCTGGCCGCGGTGACACAGCACCAAACGGCACACGCCCTCCTGTGCCTGTGCCTGTGCCTCTCGCTGCTGCTCCTCCTGCTGCCCCTGCTGCTCCTCCTGATGCTCCTGCTCCTGCTGCTCCTTCTGCACCTATTCGTTCTGTCCCTACACCTGCACCTGCACCTCCCACTACCCCTCTCCCTACCACTCCACCGTTCCCCACACCTAAACCTCCCGCTCTTTCTGCTGCTCCCGTCGCTCCTAGTGCTCCTATTGCACCTACTGCGTCTGCTACCCCTGTTGCCCCTGTCGAACCTGACAGGCCAGCTGCAGAAACGGCTCCTACGTCGGCTGCACCAGCACCAGCACCAGTATCAGCACCAGCAGCAGCACCAGCAGCAGCAGAAGCAGAAGCACTAGTGGCTACTAGCATGCTTTGCACCTCGCCTTCTGGAACAGGTGTGACTGGTCTGGCCTTGCCTGGGAACGCGTTTCTCGCTGCTGCTGCTGCTGCTGCTGCCAGCGCTGTGGGGGATGGCTCCCCACGGCCAGGCAGCTGCTGCGGGGGGGGTCGGTGCAGACGGGGAGAGGTCAGCTGCTGCTGCTGCTGTTGCTGGTGGTGGTGTTGGCCGTCTGTGAGGCTTTTAGAGCGGAACATGGTGTTGGCAGGCACAGGACCTCCTCCTCTTGGTGGCCTCCTCACACCCATTCCCAAGCCCCTGCCTCGAGAACCCATGCTCCCTGGAGTCACACTCCCTGGGGTCACACTCCCTGGAGTCACACTCCCCGGAGTCACACTCCCCGGAGTCCCGCTTCCTGGAGTAGGGGTCCCAAACGCAGCACTGCTGGATGTGACAGCACGAGGAGTAACGCTTCCCAGATTCAATCCGCGTGGTGAAGCCCCCTTGGGTGATTCCGCCCACCGCGCCTGCTCTCCTTCCTCTCCTCCTCCTCCCCCTCCCCCACCCCTTCCCCCTCCCCCTCCTCGTCCCTGCGCTCCAACCCTGCCTTGACCCCTTCCCACACCGGTGCCAGACCCCCTGCCTCCAGCAGGCACACCTTCACCAGCAACGCCTGCACCGGACGAGCCTCCCCGTGCACCAACAGCCGCGGAACCTGTGGCAGTAGCACCAGCACCAGCACCACCAGCAGCAGCAGCAGAGGTGGCGGGAGAAGAGACAGAAGAGGACGAATCAGCTGCGTTGGCCGAAACGGAGGCAGACGCGGAGGCAGAAGCAGAGGCAGAGACGGAGGCGGGCCTGCTCTGACCCCTGGGAGTCACATCACCGCCTCTTGCAAGGTCCTGAGATACGGATTCACCTGCCACCGCCTCGCTTGCTCCACTGCCCGTCCTATCACCTGCCCCCACTGGCCCCCCTTGCGCCACTGCCCCTTGCGCGCCCTGTCCCCTTCCGCCTCGCCCACCCATTTTGCGGGCTGCACCTGGGGTGACTGAGGTGACAGGCCGTGCCGTGTGCCCCCCTTGCCCTTGGCTTGGCACGTCGCCGCGCCTGCTGGTGGGAGTGCTGGAGCCCGTGTTGGGTCCCTTGTCGCTGTTGCTCCTGAACATTACAGGCCTGCTCCCACTGCCCCCCGCTGCTACTGCTGTTGCTGCTGCTCGTGCTTTCGGTGCTGCTGCTGCTGCTGCTCGCGCTGCTGCGTCTGGAAAGCCCCGTGCGGCTGTAACGCTGTGGGGACTTAGGGGGAGAGGGGAGCCGAGCCCACCAGGAGCAGCAGTAACACCGTCGTTACTTCTCTCGATAACCATGATGTTGATGCTGTCATTACTGCTACCGCCAGCGGCCTCTTCCCCCATCACCCCACCTCTTCCGCCTCCCCAGTTGCCTCCTCCTCCTTCTCCTTCTGCTGCTATTCCTGCTCCGTTAAGGCCTTTCACTTCCATTCCGGGCCTCCATTCCCTTGCGCTCATCGGCCCCCACCGCCCTTCCCCGCCCGGACCCCCGCCGGCCCACCTGCTCTTGCGCAGCGCCCTCTGCGCGGTCTCCACGATGTCCGCGGAGGCGCCCCTCTTGTGCCCCTCAATCGCGCGCAGCATCACTCCGCGCACCCCCGTCGCCAGTTGCGGGCTCCGCAACCGCGGAAGCACCCCCCCGGCGCCCAGCGCGTTCCTGCTCCCGGGCGCGAATGCTGCGCCCTCCGCGGAAGCGCCGTGCGCGCGCGGAAAGGGAAGCGCGGCGTCAAAATCCGCCTCAGGCATGGAGATCGTGCGGCGGATGGCTCGTTCACGCGGATCTGCCCCGGGGTGTTGCGGGGTGAGTAGCCGATGGGGCGGCTGAAATGCAATGTTGGGGGAGGGGACGTGCGGAGAGAGTTGCGGGGAGAGGAGCCGAGGCTGGGGGGAGAGCTGCGGAGAGAAAAGCCGAGGCTGCGGGGAGAGCTGCGGGGAGAGAAGTCGAGGCTGGGGGGAGCGCTGCGGGGAGAAGTGGCGGGTCTGGGGGGAGAGGTGGGGGGAGCGATGGGGAGAGAGGTGGGGGGAGCGGTGGGGGGAGTGGTGGGGGGAGAGGTGTGGGGAGCGATGGGGAGAATGGTGGGGAGAGAGCATCGAGGTGTGCTGCGGTGAGAGTAGGCGAGGCTGTGGAGAAAGCTGCGGGGAAAGCAGGCGCCGTTGCGGGGGAAGCTGCGGGGAGAGCAGACGAGATTGCAGCGGGTGTTGCGGAGATAACAGGCGCATTTGCGGGGATGCTACCCTGTGGTGCGGAGAATACTGATGGTGGGGGGAAACTTGCTGGGGAAGCTGCGTCGCTCCGTGGGAATGCACGCCCAGGTCTATTGCAGCAACGGAGCCCCCTGAGTTCGTCCGCCTCTTCCCCCCTCTCGCATCCTGCGCCCAGTCGTATCCCTGCGACGACTGCGCATTCTCCGCGCTGCTGACGCGGTTGCTGGGATCTGTGAGGTTCCGCGTGAAAGGGTTTGCAGCAACGGACGGCAGCGAGTTAGGGCTGGGAACCGCGCTCAGAACACCAACACCCTCGATAACTCCAACCCTTCCCCACGTTCCTGATATTCCCGATGCGTTCTGCCCCACAGCTGCTTCTGCTGCTAGCGACGTGCGATCGGACGACACCTGCTGAGCCATGGCCGTGTCCTTCTCGCCGCTCTCCCATGTCGACTCCGCCCATTCCACCAGCTCGGCGCGCCTTGCCGCGTCGACGCCGGCGAGGGAATTACGAAGCATGGCGCACGCACTCTCTCGCCGAACGACCTAATCGTCCTGGTAACGGGTCATAGTATATGGGGTCCAGACCGGGACATAGGACATGCAGCAGCGAAGCACGATAGCAAGCTGCTGCATTGTGTGGCCGGCAGTTCGTCTTCCTGCTTCCAGCAAGATATTTTATTGGGGTGACTGATATGTTTTTCAGGCAAGCCTGGAGCTGTCCCTGTTTTTTTCGCGCGAGGGCCGATGCGACTTCCTGACCTAATCTTGCATTTGTTCGGACGGGTAAATTTCACTATTGCCCGGAGCTTCACACAATAAGACGCAACGATACAGCAGTGAAGCCTAAACCGAGGGAATGGCAAGCAATGACACGCACGAATCGTCTATTGCTGGAATGGGAGAAGTTAGCTCTGCCGGAATGGTGTTTGTACCAGGCATATGGAACAAACATGGGTCAGGTCAGCAGCAGCGCAGCACACAGCACGGCAACAACATGATGGTGGGCATTGGTGCGGCTCTGGCAGCGTGGCTCTCGTTGATATGACTCTCTGGGGGGAGGCCTGCCTCGTCTCGTCTCGTGTCTGCTCTGCGCTTCCCTGTGCTTTGGGTGCGTGGCTTTTCTTGTTGGTCGCTCACAGACAACACCATCCCAAGAAACCCCTGATACACCAATAAGCTTAATAAAGCATCCAGGGGGGGGGAGTGGTGTACATTGCGTTGTCGTAAGTATTGGAGTTTGAACCCTCGAGACCGCAGATCCCAATGCCCAGCGACGTGATTGGGCTTTCACGCACTTGCGAGCCGGCTAAACCTTCATCACATCGCGCAGCTGTGATTTTGTAGCCAATCGCGAAACACTACCTTCTTAGTATCAGCCTCGACTTCGGATTGTAGTAAACTGTACTCGCGATCAGCTTTCATCATAAATGTGGCATTTGCATATCCTAATCAAAGCTTGCCTTCCCATCACCCCCACCTACCTCTCCCACTGGGGCTCATGAGTCGGTCATTACTCGCTGCAACAGTTGCCACTGGAACCATAGGCACCTTTATAGTATCCTGCACCTCCCGCTTCTCGGCTTTTGCTTCCCCCACTCGCTTCGCGGCCCTGTCGTGGCAACAGTTGTAAGGGACTCTGAGTATCAGGGACAGGAGTATATGATGAGTATGCGGTCACTATCAGGCATGGCGTCGTTATAGTGACTCGTTTATTTGGCGAGTGGAGCAGGTACCGTTTTTCTGACATGGCCGCATGCCGTCGGCTCGCGCTTTCGACATGTGCGGGGTGTAGCAGAATGAAATGCCTGGCAACGTTATATCTCGCTTTCCTCCTCTTATGCGCGTCGAATCCTTCGCATTGTCTTGTCGCCCGCTCTCCCCGCTTTACGATCTCCGCGCCAGCCGCCGTATCGACAAGCGACGAACCCGATGCGCGTCCCTCCCTCCTCTCCAACTCGGTTCTCCCCTTCCATGACGTCGACCCCCCACTGAATTCAGATATTTTAGCTGAAGGCGCTAGAATCGGCACCGGGATTCATGCCGGAATTCACGCTGACACTGCCCGTAGACAAGCGACACCTAATCAGCAATTCTTTGGCGCAGACGACGCGGGCGCACGCCGCCGATTGCTGGGAAGGGGGAGGGGCGGAGGGGGAGGGGGACGAGGGGGCAACGGCGGAGATCGCCCCGCGGAGCTAACGATCTTCACTGCGCCACGACCGTTCGATGGACCAGCAGGCACGATCCAACGGCTCGCGATAATATCCTGGCTCTGCATCGAGCCCGCGCCTGTGATCTACCTCTTAGGCAACCACCCATCGTTTAAGGACGCCGAGACCGACCCGCTTTTTGCGGGCCACGTGTTAGCGGATCCTTACGTGGACGCCGATCTGTACGGTCAGCCGCTCTTTAACTCCATGCTCGCTCGAGCCATGGCGGCACCCACGCGCTTCGTCGCTATCGTCCGCCCGTCTGCGCTACTCTCGCCAAGCATCCTTACCGCCGCACTTGCCGCTGAAGCGCGCTTTGGCAACTTCTTGCTGCTAGCGCCGGAGCGAGAGCGCCGGGGGGATGCTGAGGCGGTTTCTGCGGCGGCCGCGGCGGCGGTTGCGCAAGTGGGCGGAAGCGAAGAAGCGGAGCAGCGCATGGACACGTCGATAGCGGTGGATGCGGCGAAACTGGGGGAGGCTGCGCGGCGCATGGGGGATATTAGTTCGCGGTCTAAAGTGGGGGTGTGGCTGTGGAACATCTCGCCCGCGCCGCTCTGTGCGTCTCTCGCACCGCCCAACAGCACCCTTTCCGCCGCCGCCGCTGATGCGCGCGCGTGTTTTGTTCCGCCATTCGCCTACGACCGCGGATTCCACGACGTCTGGCTCGCTCGCGCAGCTCTCCGCGCCGCCACCGCCGCCGCCTCTGGGGGCGCAGATACGGGGAGCGGCGGGACGGCAGGGAGGCAATTGCTGGCGGATGCGGACGGCAGTGCATTCGCGTGTATATCCGCGCGGGCGCTGATCCCCCCAGATATACTTTCTAACGCTTCCGCCGCCACTGCCGATTCCGCTCAGATCGAGGCCGCGGGGGGCGGGAGCGGGAAGGGCGATGGGGGAGAAGCGGGGTTTGAGGTTTTAGCGGAGGAGTTGCGCAAGTGGGGAATTTCTGTGGCTGCCCAGACCCTGATTCCTGAAATAAAATCCCCTGTACGGGCAGAGAAGAAAATAGTTCGGAGAACGTGGAGAGGAACAGTGGTGGAGGAGGCAGTGGCGCATCAGGAGAGTCTAGAAGAGGCTGGCGCGCTGCTGCCCGCGCTGAGAATTTGGAGCTGCCCGTTTGGGCGCGGGCAGGGGGACTGCGAGGAGCAGCAGGAGGGGAGGAGGCGGAATCCGCACAAGCAGGTGGTGGTGAATTGGGAGCTGGTGCAGCAGTGGAAACAGGGCGGAGAGGGCGCGGCAGGGGGAGAGGGAGGCGCGGAGGGAGCGAGTGGCGCTGATGGTGGTGTTGGCGGTTCTGGTAGTGCAGGAGTGTGTGATTCCGCGTGGGTGGTCGTGCCATGCGACGGGCGGCAATCCGACAGCAGCCAAGGTAGAATGAATGCACCTGATTTTCCGTTTCCCCTGCTCCCACACACGCTCGTCCTGCTCCTGCCCCTTCCCTGACACACTCATTTCGCTGAAAATATAGTCAAGGCTTAGTTCCATCGCCCACACTCCCCTCACCTCACTCTCCTTATCCCCTCCTTCCCACACCCCTCCCATCCCCTCACCTCACCCTTTTCTCTTCTCCCCTCTCCCCTCTCCCCTCCTCCCCGCAACCTCTCTCCCTCTCTCGCTCTCTCCCTCTACCAGTGTGCTTCTCTCCCTCGGCCTGCTGCCAGCAGGGCTCCACCACTGGCCTCACTTCCACCACCAACCCCAACACCCCCTCCTCCTCCTCCTTTTCCTCCTTCTCCTCAGTCCTCACCTCGGTCTTCTCCTCCACCTCCTCCTCCTCCGCCTCCTCCTCCCTATCCCCCGGGCATCCCGCCTCCCAGTGGCTGTGCGGCATGGCGTCAACAGCAGCCGGCAGCGGGTTTGGCGGGTCAGGGGGGCTCCTGCACATGCACTCGTCCGGCTACCTTCCCCCAGACCACAACCCTGCCACCCACCAAAGCCTCATCGACAGCAACACTGCCTTAGACAGCACCAGCAGCAGCAGCAGCAGCAGCAACGGCGGCACTGATCCCACGACCAGCAGCGGGGCGGAGTTACAGCGCAGAGGGCTCGACGAGCTGCTCCCTCTGGCCGTGGACCATCGCAACATCGTCATACTCGTCGCCGCCACCGGCTCCTACGCCTCCATGCTCATGTCCTTCGTCTGCAACCTGCGCCGCCTGCTCCTCCCTCTCCCGCTCATCGCCGCATTCGACGACGACATGTTCCGCTTCGCCTCCCTCCACGGCCTCCCGGTGTTCCGTGCCGACACCGGCCCCGCCGGCCGCGACCCCTCCTGCACGTACGGCACCAAGTGCTTCCAGCGCATCACAAAAGTCAAGTCCAGGGCAGTCCTCCAGGTGCTCAAACGCGGTATCCACGTGCTGTGGTCCGACGTGGACATAGTCTGGTTCCGCGACCCGCTTCCGGAGCTCCTGGAATTCGGATCGGGTGTTCTACCAGTACAGAGCGATGCGGGATATGACAAGGAACCACCCAACGGGCAGGGGATCACCTCCCCGCACGGGTTTATCAACTCTGGGTTTTACTTCGCTCGGGCCGAGCCCATGGTCATCCAGGCTTTTGAAGCCATTGTCGCGCATGCCGCAACGACAAAGACGTCCGAACAGCCGAGCTTCTACCACGTGCTATGCGGGCCGAAAGGGGAGAACACGGAGGGCGAGGACGAGTGCGTGTGGCCGGGGAACGGGCTGCGGATCCACTTCATGGACCGGTGGTTGCATCCCAACGGGCTGTCCCACCGCGTGTGGTTCCGCAAGTGGCCCGCTCTCGAGTGCCGCAAGCACAAGTGTGCCACGCTGCACAACAACTGGGTGCGCGGGAAGGAGAACAAGCTCGCTCGCCTGCGCAAGGGCGGGCTGTGGTTCTATGACCCGGACAACGACATGTGTAGATACAACTGGTATTATGAGACCGAGGGGATGGCAAGAGAGGAAGGGACGTTCCTTGGAGTTAAGGACTGACTGATTTGTCTGTGGCTCTCTGTTTCACACTTCAGGTCAGGCCCAGCGCCAGCTGCGGCTTTGTTAGAATCATTTTGCAGGATCAGTGATCGAGTAGTGAAAATGGTTTCCCGTGATTCCTCTAAAATCAGGTTGTTATCCACAGTAAGTTATACCTTCGTATATTAATCATCGCCGTACATACACAAACAACACACATACATACATGCTGATGGGATGGGACCGTGACTGCCCCAATTGCCAAGCTTTTATTCCCCATAAGAAGACCTACACCCTATTCCTAGGCCGTCATGCATCTACCGTACCACTCCGCTTGCATCAAGTTACAAATGAGATACGGTAGTTAGGCCCCCACCTATCAACTTGCTCCTCCCATGCTCCTGACCAACCTCCGCAATCCATCCAACCGCATACTATCTTCGTTGTCACTCAAATGGCCGACTGCAACCCTTCACTCCCCACCCTCTCCACTCCTTTGCTTCCATCCCCCCTCCGGCCATCTCTCCTTCCCTCCGTTCCCCCTGACTTCATCCCCCACCCCTCAACTCCCTCCCCCCTCTCCATTCCTCCCCACTTCCCTCTCCCTCCAACCTCTCCATCCTTTCCTCCCCCATCTCACCGTGCCACATCCAAGCCCTCGATCCCACACCGGCAGAAAGGACAAACAGGACTGGGCGGCAGGGCCACGTGCGAGTTTGGCTTGGTGTGTGCCAGCAGGGAGAGCACACACGTGGGGCACAGGCGGTGAGAGCAGGGCAGCAGGGCGAGCAAATACCCAGGTGGAGGCGGGGGTCGGCCACCGGAGGGTGAGAGCGGAGGAGAGAGAGTGTATGAGTGAGTGTGGGAGTGAGTGTGGGAGTGAGTGTGGGAGTGGGTGTGGGAGTGAGTGTGGGTGGTCAGGTTGCTGTTGCTGCTACCGGTACTGATGCTGAGTGGTCCGCTAGAGAAAGGGCTAGTAGTGGCACTGCTGCTCTGCCCGCTAACAGGGGAACACACACTCAAAGGAGATGAACACATGCTGAAGAGAGAAGCCAAACCACTGCTGCTGCCGCCACTGCTGCCACTGTTGTTGTTCCCACTTCTGCCAATTTTACCACTGTTGCTCAAGTAGTGTGCAGCAAGAGGGCAAGGTTCGCAGCAGATGAGGCACACACTGCCATCGGCCTCCCCTCCGCTCCCCCTCCGGCTCCCATCGTCCCCCACCGCCAGATCTCCATCCCTCCGTCCGTCCTCCACCCTCCCCACCTGCTCCCGTGCCATCACTCTCACCCCTCGCCGATCCTTTTTCTGTGCTGTCATCCCTGTTAACTCGCCCAGACTTCGTTCCCACAACTCTCCATCTGCATTCCCTGCTTGCCCCTCCACTGGGTGCTCCTCCTGCTGCTCTGCCCGGCCTTCTCTCCCGCCCGCTCCGCCCTCCACTGCACCGCTTTCTACCCCATTCCACCTCTCTGAAGCTACCAGGGGGCATACAGTCGGAACCATGCACCGTATATCACTGCCACCACCACTGCCACTGCCACTGCCATTCTCTCTGCCTTCTCCCCCCTCCCCTGCACTCCCTTCTTCCACCTCTGCCTTCACCACTCCTCTTGTACTCTCCACCTGTTTCTGACCACCACCCACCCCTCCCTGTGCCTCCTGTGCCTCCTGCGCCTCCTGCCCGTCCTCCCCTCCCTCGCCTCCCTGCCCTCCCTGCGCTCCCTGCGCTCCCTGTCCTTCCTCCATTCTCTTTTGACCCACCTCAAACATCCCCCCCATTCCTGACTCCACACCCGCACACACACCCTCTCCCATCTCTCTATCAACCCTACCACACTCCCCAGACTCCCCTCCCTCTCCCTCCTCCTCTCTCGTCCTCCCAGCCCCACCCCCCTCGCGCCCTCCACACCCCTCCCCATGCCTGCTCCCCGCCGTTACATTCCCCCCTTCACCCTGCTCTGCCGCATGCTCCAACGCTTCATGCGCCCCCCTCTCCTCACTCACCTCCCCGCCTGTGCCAGCACCCATGCCCATGCCTCTGCTGCCACTTCGGCCCTCCACCCAACCCTCTCTAACGACATCCCCACCACCATCACCATCACCATCCACACCGCATCTGCCGCCTCTGCTACCGCTGCCACCGCCACCACGAATGTCGCACAACCGCTCACTCACCCCATCCTCCCTCCTCTTCACGCCGCTACCCTTCACCCCTTCCGTTTCCCCTTTTACTTCCCGCTGCCCTCCTCCCCCTTCCCCTTCCGCATCCTCCCCCCCCGCCTGCGCCAGGGCAGCGCGGAGCAGCCAGACTACCTGGGGGGGCGCGCGCGCGAGCAGCTGCGCCCAGGGGGAGGGCCACACCAGGGGCGCGGGGGACTTAGGGTTCAGGAGCGCCACCACGCGCTTGAAATCGCATTGTGGGAGGACGCCGCCGCCGCCGGCGCTGGCGCTGGCACCACCGGAGCCGCTCTTCCCCCCACCCGCGCGTGCACTGCCGCGCCTCTCCGCGCGCACCCCCTTCTCCGCGAGCGCGTTCTTCCCCGCTTCCACGCGCGCTTTCCACCCGCGCTCCCGCTCCGCGCGCACTGCCAAGGCGTGCGGCGTCATCTTGGAGTGGTTGAGCGCGGTTCTGTCCGCGCCCCACGCCAGCAGCGCCAACACCGTCCCCACGCTCCCGCTCCGCGCGGCCATGTGCAGCGCGTGGTTCCCGGGACTGCCGCGGACAGGGTTAGGGTTGGGGATTCAAGGGATAAGATCAGATCCAGGAACTGCTGCAGCGCCGAGGCTGGGCTACAAACGACGCAGCTGCAGCTACAGTTACGGTTACTGTTTCACCCAGTTTCACCACATGATTGCGGCTTCAGAATATATTTATTTTCGACGCGTGATGTCATTTTCGGCGTGTCCGCACTCACGCGTGGCCCGTCGACGCCGTCGTGATGCTGACCGCCGCGCCCTCCCGCAGTAGCACGCGCACCGCGCCCTCCGCACCCGCTGCTGCCGCTAGATGCAGCGCCGTGCACCCCGTGGCGTCGCGCGCGTTGACGAAGCGACGGTAGCCCCTGGCGATGGGCGACGAGCGACGAGCGATAAAGGGACGAAGGACGGGAAGCGCGAGTAAGATGAAACTGGGCATCCATACGGTAGTAACGAGAAGATCGGAAAGCAGGAAAAGGAACCGGGAACGACGTCCGGAGCGAAGGAGCAGCAAGACGTTTGAAACATTAGCAGAAGCAGCAGCATCATCACCCTCTCACCATGAGTTGCGCAGTTCGTGCGACGCCTTGGCCGCCACCAAGACAGCCTCGACGCACTCCGCGCTGCCCGCGCGAGCCGCCATGTGCAGGCACGATCGCGCGCTGGTCTTATCAAATCGCAGCAGCTGCGAAGAGAGAGACAAAGAGGGGGGAATATGTGACGAGAGTAGGGGAGGGGGAGGGGAGCTTAAAACCCAAGGTCCAGAGGTTACAAAAGCATATTACTCGGTCACGGAGTTTTGGGCAGAATCTCCAGGTTTAGGACGGGTGCCACGTGTCTCAGTGAGCACAACATTGCACGTCGCGAAGGGACTGGATGTGCGCAAGTCGATGCGGCATAAAAGGGCGGGAAAACGAGTCGGCGACGTACCGAGGCGTCGTTTATCAGCAGCAGCGTGACGACCGCCACGTGTCCTCCTCTCGCTGCCGCCATTAGCGGGGTCTGCACCCACACACGCAAGGTAAAACCCAGCGGTTCAGGCAATAAAAAGGGAGTGCTGGCACCCCACTGGAGGTAAAGCCCACTTAACTGCAATCTGGACGTGCGTATGGCGTATGATGGATGATCGACGCAGAGACGTACCTTGCCTGTGGAGCAGCAGCCATTTCTGTCCACCCCGCTTGCCAAAAGTCGTGCGACGAGCTGCGAATGCAGACGAAAGGAGGTCATCAGTCAGGTTACAACGCGACGAAGACAGAGCGGGGGTGAGTAGAAAAGATGGAGAGAACGTGATTTCTTAGACGTTTCAGAATGGGAGCTGATAGTGGATCTACCCACCTCGACATTTCCAGCAGCAGCGGCAGCGATCATGGGGTTGCGACGAGAGGACATCATGCTGCCGACAGTTGCGGATCGCTCCCTCGCAATAAGCTGCGCCACGGATCCGTTGCTGCTTCGTCCCGACACTACGCTCGCCCTTTCGCGCGACCGCTTGTCTGCTGGCCTGCTCTCGCTGTTTCCCATAACGAAGAGTTGATTTCCACACACAAAAAAGCGTACGAAAATGGAAGCGAGACTCAGTAGTAATGGATTATTCACGAAAGTTGGCTACGATGAACAGGCGTAAGTATATGTTTACGTCACATGGATGGTTCCAGCAGACCATCCACTGAACCAAACCAGTTTCCAGTACTAAAGGTTCTATGGTGCCTCGCTATGCCGAACTGCTGACCTAGGCGAGGGACTTCATGAAAGTCGTGAAGGGATTGCTGGTCACTTCCCGTGCTGCTGCAGACTGGGATTGGGATGGGACCAGACGAAAAGCCCAACATTTCACAATGACGGCGTTTGTCCAACGACGGCATGCCTAGGAGTTCTACCTCCTGGAGGGCGGGGTGTAGTGCTATGGAGTTCGGTTGAGCTGGTTTGGTTTGGGGCCGATATGTTTGCGGATATACAGCATGTGGCAGCAACCGCAGCGCGAGCTCCCTTCGTGGCAAATTTGCGGCGCGGTTACAGGCGCCGCGCGGATTTGCAATGCTGACATCCGCGAAGGAATGGTGTATGGTGCAGGCTTTGAGCAAATCATGACGCGTGACTCTAAATCGAAGACTTTTTGCATCACTTTGTTATCTCCATAACAAGTAGATCTCCATTAGGTTAAAGCCCGAGGTCAGCATGGTTTTTGCCAAAACTACTGAAGGGCCTTAACTGTGTTGGCGAAATGGAAAAAAGGTTCACTTCGGGAAGATGGGCGTGGCGAAAGCGAAATGAGCAACGAGGAGATTGTGTAGTCGTCACTCAACATCAGTTGGAGCGTGCGACAAACCAACCCAACCGAATGAGGAGAAACCACGGAGTGTGGAAGCCCAACCTCACTACTTCGGCCTAGAAACAATATAGGAGGAAAAAGCATCTCGACAGCGCATCAAAGAGTAGAATACGTAGCCGCTGTACAAGTCTAGCCTCCCCTTCCTCATCGAGCTCTTCCCCTCGTCGCGCTTCCCATTGCCTCGCCTCCCGTCGTCGCGCCTCACCTCGCCGCGCCTCCTGTCCCATCGTCACGCCGACCCTCAGTTCCTGGGAGCCTCCGTTAGTCGCGCCGCCGCTCGCCCCGCCGCGTCTCCGCTAGCCTCGCCGCGCCTCCGCAAGCCTCGCCGCTCCTCCGCTCGCCTCGCCGCGCCTCCGCTCGCCTCGCAGCGCCTCTGCTCGCGGCGCCGCGCCTCCGATCGCCTCGCCGCGTCTCCGCTAGCCTCGCCGCGCCTCCGCTAGCCTCGCCGCGCCTCCGCTAGCCTCGCCCCGCCTCCGATTGCCTCGCCGCGCCTCCGCTCGCCTCGCAGCGCCTCCGCTCGCCTCGCCGCGCCTCCGCTCGCCTCGCCGCGCCTCCGCTCGCCTCGCCGCGCCTCGCTCACCTCGCCGCGCATCCCCTGCCATCAGTGCGCCAGCACCCTCGTCGCGCTGCCCCTCCTCACGCCTCCACTCCCGCTGCCCTTCTCCCACCTGCCCATACCTTGCCCTCGCTTCCCTGCACTTTCATTCCCACGTGTTACCTTCCCCTTATTTTTGCCTATGCTTCCCCTCATTCCCTTCCCCTCATTTCCCCCTCTCCTTCCCCTCCCCTTCTTCCCTTCATTTCTCCGCCTGCTTCCCCTCATTCTTCCCTCTGCTTCCCCTCATTTACTCCGCTGCTTCCTCTCGTTTTCCCCTCTGCTTCCCCTATTTCCCCCCTGATTTCCCTAATTTTTACCCTCCTGCTTCCCCTCGTTTCCTGCTCTACTTCCCTTCATTCCTCCCTTTGCTTCCCTTTCTCCTCGTTCCCCTCATTTACCCCGCTGCTTCCCCTCGTTTCCCCGTCTGCTCTCATTGTTTCCCCCTCTGCTTCCCCTAATTCCCCCCCCTCCTTCCCCTCATTTCCCCCCCTCCTTCCCCTCATTTTTTCCCCCTCCTTCCCCTCATTTCCAGCTCTGCCTTTCCTCATTATCCCTCCTGCTTCCCCTCCACCCTGCTTCTCCTCATTTACTCCCCTGCTTCCCCTCATTTCCCTCCCTGCTTCACCCCATTTTTCTCCCTGCTTTCCATGTTTGTACCCTCCTGCTTCCCCTGATTCCCCCCCTTGATTCCTCTCATTTCCCCCCTTGCTTCCCCTCATTTCCCTCCCTGCTTCACCTCATTTCCCTCCCTGCTTTCCCTGTTTTTACCTGCTTCCCCTCATTCCCCCCCCTGCTTCTCCTCATTTCCCCCTCTGCTTCCCAGGATTTCCCCCTCTGTTTCCCATCGTCTTATCTCCCCCTTTCTCTTCCCCCCCTGCTTCTCTCTTCTCTTCACCCTCTTCCCTGTCTCCCCTATCTCCACTCTTCTAATCTCTATCTGTTTGACTTTTCTCTTGTTCCCCCTCCCAATCCCTTGTATTCTCTCCCTCCCCCTGGCTATTGCAGTAACTACACTGAAGATTTTTCTGGTACTTCAACTCACCTCAACCCATCATCCCATCCCATGCTCGTAGAGTTACAGTTCCCCTCCTGTGTTTTTTCAGGGCCTTGAGAAAGGTTCAGTCGTATATGTATTGCTTCCCTTGACCCTTGCCTACAATCAAAAGTATTAGAACATGCGTACATGCCTATGCATCTTAGAAGAATATCTTGCACTGCAGAAACAAAAGTACCGTACATAGTGTGCCTTTGGGATGCATATCTCCAACAGTAATACAGTACGATGCGCGCATACAACAGACACGTAACAGGTGGTGTTACGGTGTAAAGCATCGACTAGCTGCGCCTCAGCTAGCAATTGTTGCTCCTTTGCTTCACCACTGAAAAATAGGGGAATGGAGAAGGCAGAAAGAATTGTGTGAAGGAACATGGGGGAGGTGGTGTGAGGTGCAAGGGACCAACGGCAACAGCAACAGCACATGATGAAAGCGTGTACGGGGAGACAGTGATGGGTCCACATGCATGGGAACTAGAGAGTGGTAGGTGAGTAGTGAGGGGGAAGGGGAAGGCATGAAAAGGAAGGAAAGGGTTGAGAAGGGATGGGGAAAGGAAGCGCAGGGCAGGGAGGGAAAGGCAGGGATAGGGAGGGCAGGGCAGGTGGGAACATGGCAGAGGGGGGGGGGAAGGAGGGCTGAGGGTGGTGGGAAGGATTGTGAGAGTGCGGGAGGAAGGAGAGAGATAGTGCGGGTGCGAGGAGAGAGAGAGAGTGCGGGAGGAGGGAGAGAGAGGGTGGGAAGAATGAGAGGTGGCGGCAGAACGGAATGGGAGAGGGTGAGCGGAACAGAATGAATAGGAAGGACACCTGGGCAGAGATTATGGGGGGGAGCAGGGAAGGGGATGGGGGGAAGCAGGGAAGGGGATGGGGGGAAGCAGGGAAGGGGATGGGGGGAAGCAGGGAACGGGATGGGGGGAAGCAGGGAAGGGGATGGGGGGAAGCAGGGAAGGAGATGGGGGGAAGCAGGGAAGGGGATGGGGGGAAGCAGGGAAGGGGATGGGGGGAAGCAGGGAAGGGGATGGGGAGGAACAGGGAAGGGGATGGGGGGAAGCAGGGAAGAGGATGGGGGGAACAGGGAAGGGGATGGGGGGAAGCAGGGAGGGGGATGGGGGGGAAGCAGGGAAGGGGATGGGGGGGAACAGGGAAGGGGATGGGGGGAAGCAGGGAGGGGGATGGGGGGGAAGCAGGGAAGGGGATGGGGGGGAACAGGGAAGGGGATGGGGGGAAGCAGGGAGGGAGATGGGGGGGAGCAGGGAAGGGGATGGGGGGGAACAGGGAAGGGGATGGGGGGAAGCAGGGAGGGGTATGGGGGGAAGCAGAGAGGGGGATGGGGGGAAGCAGGGAGGGGTATGGGGGGAAGCAGGGAGGGGGATGGGGGGAAGCAGGGACGGAGATGGGGGGAAGAAGGGAAGGAGATGGGGGGAAGCAGGGAAGGGGATTGGGGGAAGCAGGGCAGGGTTCATGGGGAAGCAGGGCAGGGGATGAGGGAAGCAGGGAAGGGAATGGGGGGGAGCAGGGAAGGGGATGGGGGGGAGCAGGGAAGGGGATGGGGGGAAGCAGGGAGGGGGATGGGGGGGAAGCAGGGAAGGGGATGGGGGGGAACAGGGAAGGGGATAGGGGGAAGCAGGGAGGGGTATGGGGGAAGCAGAGAGGGGGATGGGGGGAAGCAGGGAGGGGTATGGGGCGAAGCAGGGATGCAGATGGGGGGGAGCAGGGAAGGGGATGGGGGGAAGCAGGGAAGGGGATGGGGGGAAGCAGGGAAGGGGATGGGGGGAAGCAGGGAAGGGGTATGGGGGGAAGCAGGGAGGGGGATGGGGGGAAGCAGGGACGGAGATGGGGGGAAGAAGGGAAGGAGATGGGGGGAAGCAGGGAAGGGGATGGGGGGAAGCAGGGCTGGGGATACGGGGAAAGAATGAAGAGGATGGGGGGAAGCAGGGCAGGGGATGGGGGGAAGCAGGGAAGGGGTATAAGTTGGGGGAAGGAAGGCGATTATTGGAGGGAGGGAAAAGAGGGAGTAGGGAGAGAAAAGGGAGGGTGACAAGTGTGCGAGATGGGTTCATGGGGAAGCAGGGCAGGGTTCATATTCAGGAATCTTGAACTTGAAAATTGCCATGTAGAACTCGAGCTTTAAATTGCAGATCCCCATTGCATTACATTGCAGAATGTACAGACCTAACACAACACAAACGCACGGGTAGGCAATGTTTATGGACATACGTTACGGGACAACTGGAATGGATTTTTTTGGCGACCACATATGTGATAATGCTGACCATAATGAATAGCTCAATGCTGTTGATGAATCTGGGCTAGGAAAGGTGTTTTTTCAAGGATGAGATATATGCAAAACATCCACACTCGAAACTGTGGGCTAGAAAACGTGGTCGAAGAAAGCTACGGTAATGCTGGAGCAAATGAACAGAGAAAAGTCAGGTTTAGAACATAAATGTTGCGGAGATATAGACTACGTGTAAGGAAATCTCCTTTTCTTTACTTCGCGCCCCTGCTTACCGCGTACATGACCATTCCCGCCATCGGCACCCAACAGTGAAACGTTACTCGGTCGCGACACTCGCCTCGACCACGACTCCCGCCACTGTTCACGATGCGACCCAACCGCACGGTTCGGTTGGTAACCCGCGCTCCGGACCTCCGCCTCGACATTTCCCAACCTCGGCGCTAGGCTCGTAGCGCACCCCAATTTCTCGCGTTACCGTTACCACACTAGCTTCGCTCTATATTCTTCGCTCATGCCTTCGCTCAATGTATTTTTTTGCTTCGATAATGCAATTCTCGCTCGCTCGCTCAATTGCACTCGTAACACTTGGTATTCAGAGCCTACGATCTCTTCTCGGACCGCACCCACACCTTCGCTTCCCCACTATCTATTTTTTTGGGGGGTAGACGTCCCTCAGCGTTCAGGCACCGCCGCTCGAAGTGCTCTCTCGGAAGCACGCACGGCCACGACTGAGGCTCTCGCTGAGCTTGCCCGACACCCCCGCCATGGCCGAACTCAACGTTGCGACGTTGACGCAGGAACATCTCGACCGTCTCGTGCACCAACTAGAAGATTCGGCGCTCGAAATCGCAACTCTCACAACGGAACGTGACTCCGCCCGCCAGCAATCAACGGTGAATGCACCAGCACCAACACAAGCACCTGCAAATGCACCTGCGCAGTTGGATGAGCCGATTGTCATCTCATCCGGCACACCGTCACATCACGACAGCGTGGGACACCGCTCAGGCGCAGCCAGTGATGGCGCCGCCCAATGAATGCCCGGCATGGAGAGAAACAGGGCCGCACCAAGCACGAGCGGGCCTCGCGAAGCCCGTCGTCACGTCGAATTTGCAGCAACAAGCGGTAACGACAACATCGTCGCACCGATGCCGCTCAAGCCGCAACGCCCGCCCTGTTTCGATCCCAGCCAACGTGGAGGTCCGACGGTTCAATCGTGGGTCTTCACGATGAACGTCTTCTTCGACGCGAATTACGTCGAGTCGGACGCAGCGAAGATACGATACGCCGTCTCGCTGCTACGGGGCTCCGCCATGGACTGGTGGCGAGTCATTGTGACGTCGCCACGCGCCTACGAGCCGCCGTTGCAAGAGGAAGGGCCAGCGGGTCCAGCCGTCACCTGGAGTTCGTTCTGCGAGACCGCCCAGTACAGCACGTGGGATGCGTGGTGTGCAGGGCTTCGAGCGCGCTTCGAGCCGATCGCGGCTTCTATTTCGACGCGTCGAAAACTGCGTACTTGGCGACAGCTTGGATCGGTCCAAGATTACACGAGAGGTTTTCTCTGTTAACGGGAATGGAGTGTTGGCCCCGCCCTCGCTTGGGCAACGCCGACGACTTGGTTGGATGTACGGGAGTAGCAGCCGACCGTTCACAGTGGGAGAGCTGCTCGACAGGCTTCGTCGAGCTGCAGGGGACCGCTGTGGTGTTGCTGTTGACCAGGGAGCTCGACAGCTGCAACTGACTGGTCTAGGCGACGGGTGGGCCGTCTACCAGGAGGTGCAATTCGACCGGAGCAGTCCGTCGACCTGACAACTGAGCAGCGGTCGACAAGGGGAGCTCGGCGACATCATCTGCCAATTCTGGTCGACGGAAGGGGTCCGTCGACCATAGGGTAGCTCGACGGGAGCTGTGGTCGACCAGAGGGACCTGGTGGTCGACCAGAGGGACCCAGTGGTCGACCAGAGGCACTGGTGGTCGACCGGAGCACTTGGTGATCGACCAGGTCGACCGGGTAACCTGTTCGACGAGTTCTGCGGAGGCACGCGAACGTCGTCGAGGTCGCGATGGCGAAGGCGACTTCGGGCTGGTATCCCGAAGTCGATGTGTCTCGTCAGGCGCAGACAACAGCCGACGGATGCACAACGGTGCAAGTCGGGCCAATCGTCTGCTCGCACCTGCGAGCGTGCGCACTGCTGTCTTCTACGGGGCAACGCTGGACAGCCGCTTTGCTGCAGCGTTGGCACGCCGTCGACCTGCAGTGTTGGCAGGTCGCCCTTCTGCAGTGCTGGCGCGGCTCCTCTACGCAACGCTGGCAGGCGGTCGACCAAGCTATGCTGGCGGTCAACCAGGCTAGCTGCAGGGTTGCTAGGTGCCTGATGTAGTCAATTCTGTCATTGCTTGTTCAACCATTCTGTAATTCCAACTTTGCCTAGTGAAACTCTTGCCGATTTCTCCCGTGTATGCGCAAGCACTAAGGAACTAAGCAAAGCTACGATCACTCCTAGTAGTTCGTGCCAACCCCCGTAGTCAAGCTTACTACCGTTGTAGAGTGACTCTCCGCATTCTCGCACTATGCGAGCAAGTCGGTTACATGCACGAGGCGGAGCGGGTGGACCGTTACGTCGGAGGGCGGAAGCCGGACATCTCGCACGAAATCATGCTACGCGGGCTATCGAATTTCAACAAAATCCTCGGGCTCGCCGAGAAAATCGACATTTTGCGCCGTCCGAGACCGGGGTCCTACTACGGACATCGTCCTCGGGGACCGATCGAGCACGCCACTGTACATGCCATTGTGGCAAATGCAGCTGGTGCGCCATTTAAGCGGCGCTGCTTTGCTTGCAACAGGCCGGGCCACCGCAAGAGCGAGTGCCCAGAGGAGCTGAGACGCCGTGGAGCAGAGCAGGGGAGGGAGTCTGGGAGGCAGGGAAACGCCAACAGTCAGTAGAGATCGGGCCCACTACTGACGAGACTCACTGCTGGTCCGACCCCACTGACCCTCACCGAGTCACAGTACCGATTCACGCCATCGATCGGGCTCGGATGAATAAGAAGGGTACATCGACGGATTGCCCAATACGGATTTACGGGAAAATGCAGTGGACAGCAGTGAAGATTTTATAAACGGAGGAGCAAGTCACAGCTTAGTTAATACCGCCACCGCACGGAAACTGCAACGGACACTTAGTCGCTGTTTACCATAGATCGACGCACGTTTAGTGGACGGCACGCCACTGGCCATACGAGAGAAGGTGGAGAGAGTGAAAGTTCGTTGCGGGGGAAATTTTGGGTTTACACAGGAAATGCTCGCGACGACACTGGATGGGCATGACATTTTACTGGGGCGTGATTGGCTGCGACGCTACAACCCGCGAATTGACTGGACGACGGGTAGCTGCACTGTGCGAAATAGTGGTAACTGGGTCGAACTACCTCGCTGGCGGTCACCCGAGTCTTGGACGGTCCACTTCAACGCCATCACGATGAAACGGGCTGTCGCCGCTGGAGCTGACGTGTACGCGGTGGATATCGCATTGGTGGGAGAAGCCGAGTAGCCGAGCGATTTTCAGAAACTGCTAGCAGCCGTACCGCACGAACTACAGGAACTACTGAACGGTACCCGGGGATTTTTCCGGACGATTTGCCGGAGGGATTGCCACCTCAGCGAGCACACGACCACCGCATAGAACTAGAACCGGGGGCACAGCCAACTGTACAACGACAGTTCAGACTGACACAGCCCGAGCTCGACGAACTGAGGAAGCAGTTAGATTACCTGTTAGAAAAAAAATAATCCGACCGAGCTCGTCACCGTTCGCCGCACCGATACTGTTCACACCGAAAAAAGACGGAGGTTTTTTCGACTACCGCGCACTGAACCGGGTAACAGTCACATCGCGATATCCCATCCCCCGCGCCAACGACCAGTCTTTGGACTGGATCCCCTGGTGTTGGGTCGGCCTTTCGAGTCTGGGGCTGCCTTGCACTTGTTCGCGACACCTCCGCGGACAAGCTCTCGGCACGCGCCGTCCCCTGTGTCTTCCTTGGTTTCCCAGTGGACTCTGCTGACTGGTCCTTTTACCACCCTCCCCTCCACCAGTTCCTAGACTCCCGTGACGTCCGGTTTGACGAGTCCGTGTCCTACTACACCCGGTACCCCTGTCGAGGTCTCCCGGTACCCCCTCCCCCTCTCTTCCTCGCACCCTCTCCTCCTCCTGCTCCCGCTCCTCCGGTACCCCCGCCCCCCCCTGGTCCTGCCCCGTCTGGTGTGTCCCACGCTACCCCTCTACCCTCGGTCGCGCGTCAGGTAGCGTCTCCCTCCCCGCAGTCCTCCTCACAGTCCCCTCAGCAGCCTTCGGCACTTCCGCGACAGGTTACTGTGGACTCGGTTGGTGTTGGAGCTGGAGGTGCAGCCGCTGGCGGTGCTCGGTCTGGGGGTGCTCGGTCGCGGGGTACTGGAGCTGGAGGTGCTGGCGCAGGTGACGCTAGCTCTGGGGGTGCTGGAGCTGGAGGTGCTGGCGCAGGTGGCGCTAGCTCTGGGGGTGCTGGAGCAGGAGGTGCCGGCACTGGAGGTGCTGGTTCTGGGGGTGCTGGAGTTGGGGGTGCTGGCACTGGCGGTGCTAGTTCTGGGGGTGCTGGAGTTGGAGGTCCTGGCACTGGCGGTGCTGGTTCTGGGGGTGCTGAGTCTGAGGGGACTGACGCTGGAGACCCTGGTTCTGCGGAGTCCACTCCGCCTCCCCACCGCCACGACACGCGTCTCCAGGCTGCCCGTCGGCGTGAGCGTGAGGAGCAGGAGCGGTTGGAGAGGGAGCGGCAGGAGCT